TTTCGACAGTTCATATACGTACATTTTACCGGGTATAATTATAATATAGTTATGCGAATTTTTTGAAACAATCGTAGTAAATAAAGATATTTTTAATAAATCATCCTAATATTTATTGTAATCAAATGCGATAATATATTCACAACACATTAACTTTTCGTTTTTATAATTATGAAAATAATTTTGTTTCGCGTAACGGACAGGACGTCCTTAAAATATAAGAATTAAACCAATTCGTGATTTTAAAATGTTTGTACAGGTAGATTTAACTCAAATGGGTAACACTCACATTATCGTATACCGTTTGCTATACCCGCGGGGTGTTTATGACGGATTTAGTCGGTCGGACTACGTCTTCGGTTGTGTTCACTAATGTAAAATTAAAAGTACTCTTATTTTCATGGACCACATCATCTGGCGGACTCGAAAAGAAAAACGATTGTTGATAAATAATAATTTACTATCAAATTTTTTGAATAGCGAAGAAAGATTTGCGATTTTCGATTCGCAAGGATTGCATCCTGAGAACACGGCACGTGCATTTTTAGGGGATTCGATCCGCCGTGGGGACTGAATCCGTCAAAAAATCTTATCGTAACCGTGAGACGATGGTCGTGCGCGTCGCTTCGACCCTTCCTACGGCCCGACCACTGTGGAATTCGATCCTGATGCGCGTTCCGGGTAGTGCCGTATTTAGACATTTTGCGCCCCGGCGCAAAAAAAAAAAATTGGCGCCCCTCTAAGGAGTCTGCCTACGGAAAATGTAAGAGATAGATCCTCATGAACCTTTTAGATATTCTAAGATCAATGCTATTTTTGTGTAGTAAGCATGCCACCGCGCGTACTACGGCGTACTATGTACGGTGTACTAATGTTTGTTGACATTATCACTACGCATTAGGGAACTAATATTAGGTATATTAATAATATTCTAGATCGCTGATAGCTATATTGCTATAAATACATTAATGATATATATTGATAAACTAAATAGGTTAACATTAATTTATGATGCTGTTATTAAAAACAATAATTCACAAGCGAGGAAATTTCCGACCACAAAATGTTGGCGTCCCCGAAAAACTGGGGCCCAGGACAGTTGTAGCCAGTGCCCCCCCCCCTAAATGCGACCCTGGTTCCGGGGAAAACGTACGTCACGTACGCGGGCGGAGGGGTTCCTCCTGGGAAGAACGTGCGAAACGACGCGGTCGCCGAACCGATAACAACACGTCGACGGTAATCAACGTTACGTGTTGTTTCGTATATTTTTCGTGTGTTAATTCATTTTTTTTTTCGCGCGTTCCGTCCTCCCACACCCCGTTGCCGGTCTGAGCTGAATTTCCAAGTGATCCGGGGCGGGCGCGTCTCTCCGCGGGGGCGACCGTCACCGACGACGATGAACTCGGCCGGTTCTCACAGTGGCGCGCGCGGCCGTTTAACATTACGCGCGCGTCGGCACAAGAACGGCCAGCGGACGCCGCCGTCGGAATTCCTCGTCGCGCCGGTACGTACATACCGAGCGTTCGGCCGTCCGCGGGTGTTCCCACGGCGATTCGCGGTCACACGCGTCGCGGGTTCCTCGCCACGGAAACCGCGACCGGTGCACGAGCGGCGAAATGAGACAAGTAAAAACAAACTCGTTTCGTACAAAAGCGCCAAAATCCTAGGCGCGCACGGTGTGCAAATGAATCCAGTACAAAACGTATAAAAGCGCAGATATGTGAAAAAAAAAAGTGTTTATGATTTACAACGGACATTTTTGTATAAATTCGCAACCGATTTATTAAGTTTTTATTTATTCGCGTGTATAATGTACATCGTAATTTATTGCCGATAATTTTTTTTTTAAGAAATCGCAATTTTTAAATAACTGCTTACGTAAAATATTTATTTTGGCGCGAATGATAGGTCATTTTTGCACCTTTGGCGCTTACGTCATGTTGCCACCGCGACGGCCCCGTTCACTAGTTCGTCCGCCGTTGCCCCACCGCCTCTCCGATCGTTTTCACGCACCGGGTGCGTGTCCGTCCGAATCCCGTAGTCCCTGCGCGTAACCGTCCGAATCGTGTTTTATCGGTTTTCTGTTTTTTCTAAACACGAAACCGACGGACACTCATCGGCCTGCGCGCCGATTCACTTTGCCATCGTTTTTTCCATTCCTTCTCGTTCGATCGAAATGCGTTATAGCCCGGGTCGGAACTTATTTTGCCCGTTCTCTTCGACGATCGCCAAAAATCTACCGAAATCCCCTTATAATCTTTTTGCTGTAGAAAAAAAAACCCTTTTGGTATCGGAAATCAGATATTTCTCGTAGATTCAGAATCAGCAAAACGTATACCAATTGATCGGTACGCATTTTTGTTGGTATCAACTGTTGCCGATTTCGAATCGAAATTCACAGTCGGTTACTTGTTACTCGGGTTCTGTTACTGTGTTTGAAAGACTTAAGGGTATGGGATGAGATGTCCCGCATTGAACATTATCCTCAAAAAAGTAGTTTCACTAAGCATCTCGGGACTCCTACACGCACAGGTTTAGAGAATCACTTGACCGCAGGTACCTACTACGTAGTAACCGCCGAGTGCATAGGTTATAGATGCACCCACGATTCAGGATAGTTGAATTGCACTTATTACCTACAAATAAATAGTCGAATTGCACTTGAATTAAAAAAAGGTAATGGTTGAACTGCACTCGTTCTAAAAAAGAGTTAAAATGGAAAACCTTTTAAAAATATTACAAATCTTTCTGTTGAAGAACGCTACGGCGTACTTATTTAATAGCATTATATAATAGTTCGTGCCATTTAGATAATGCAGATCATATTATATAATAATAACATATATACTCAGAAGGGTATTACCAGGGTAGAATTTTTGAGTACAGTTAGTTATTATTACAAAAAATAATCGAAATGACAAAAAAAAATTATAATAATGATAATAATTAAATTTGACGATTAAAAAAAAAAATGTATAGTAATAATAATATGTATAATATAGCAATTATAATGTAAATATATATAATTAACATATAATAATGTGATGTATAAAACGATAATTTTTAACCATGCCAATGATTAGTAAATGATAATACAATGATAACCAATGTAACTAAATAAAATAAATCTAACCCCTTCAAATGCATGATAATTTTATTGAAATACTTTTTTGAGCCCAAGCGCAGTTCGACCACTACCTGCTTTTTACTCAAGTGCAGTTCGACCATTACCTTTTTTAAACCCAAGTGCAATTCGACTTGGTTGACGACACACTACACCGGTGTTACTAATCGAAACGATACACGATGATATTATTTTTATCGTTCATATATTATTCACTGCGAGAGGAAATATTTACGGCTGCCGTGTTTTTATTACGGGTCGATTTGGATACGATGCCGTCCGTGTGCTTAAAAACCTCATAAAATGTTTTGTACTTTTATTCATACGACGTGTTACCGTGGTGACCGTTAGATTAATAATCAAAGTTGGATGTGTGTTTAAACGTTGGTACGTAAATGCCACATTTGAACACGTTCGATGACTAGATATACGGCGAGTCGAATTAAAAAAAAAATAATAATAATAATAAATATTCTATACACTATAGCCCAGCGATTCCACTTACTTATTGGGTAACACAAATACTTATTATACTCGAATACATTAGTTACACAATAAAATAATCGAATTCGATACATTGACAAAAAAAATGTAATTGTCTCTATTCAATTTATTTAAATTGTTGAAAATTACAGCCGTGCTCCACATTCTCGGATAAAGGGTTGATTATTATTTTTTAAATAAACACGTGAGATGCTCAATTTTATTGATGTTTAATTAAGAAGAGTTGCAATACAATGATGATAGGTACATTAAAATAACGATTGAAACATAACATAAATTTTGAAAATAATAAATATGGTATAAATATCAGTGTTCTATTATATATATATATAGATAAATTATCATTATGCGTTTTAAAATAATCAATTACGATAATTTTACGTTAACATTGAATCAATAAATAATTTATACTTTTTTTTAGTAGTAATCAAAAATATATGTTCTAAAATTTAAATATAAACTTATTAAATCGTTAATAAAAAATAAAATTTTCAGTTTTAAGAATCATTTTAAATTTAAAAAATATGTTTGATAAATAACATTTTACTAAATAATACAGATCTTTCTTCTGGTTTCTCAATTTAATTCGTTGTTAGCTTTTTTTATATGCAATTAGTTTTATTTATTTCTACATAATTGCTTTGTTATGTGTATAACGAAAGGAAAAAAATTTAAATACAAATTTATTTCCGTGAAATTTTATAATCGATCCCTTTTAGATTGAATCTATTAAAATATTTTTTTGTCTATTCAAGTATTTTAAAATTAAAACAATATATATGTACTTGATATATTTATATGTAAATTTATACGTAAATACATAAAAACATGTAATCGTATATAATACATAAACTCAATAAAGATGTCAAGCTTATGATTGGGAAAACGAGTTCCAAAGTTAGAATAAAAGTGCACTTAAACATTATATCAAAAGTTAAAATGACTATTTCTAAATTATATACGTTCATATTTATTCATAAAATTACTATAAAAATTAATCTAAAGACAATTTGATTCATAATTGTTTATTAAATTTTATACTTTATTTAATAGCATAATGAAATACCGTATTATTGACTATATTTTATTCTTCATTTACTAACTAATCAACAACAATTTTCTTAATAATCACTTATTTGTTTTAAAATATGCATAAAAAATAATGCTGTCTTCATTTTTAAAAGCAACGATTTATACGAAACTGATCATCATATGTAGTCAATACATACCCAACATGATTATCCTTGTACTGTATACTAATTCAATGTGCTCAAAATATCCTTTTATAATAAGTACATGAAACTATATCATATGAATCGTATAATTAAATTGTAGATTTCATTTAATTAACTAAATTATTGTTTTGTTATAGATGTGTTTGATGTTGTTTGCACTTGTGGGGGTTCAATTTGCACTGTCTCAGCAAATCAACCCAAATGACTTAGAAGTAGTGCTCAACATTGAAGACAGTAATAAAACACAATACCATGAACAGAATTTTGATACCAGTAAATATTTTAAGACCATGCGTTGATATTTATTAATTTTAATTATATAATATTAATTTATTTGTATTTTATTTTTGTTTTACAGTGGCCTATATATTCGGTTACGAAGTAGGTCCAAATGGTCAGTTCCACCATGAAAACAAAGGTCCCGATGGATTCACATATGGCTGTTACGGTTATGTAGATCCAGAAGGAAAACTACAAGCGACTCATTATATATCAGACGGTTGGGGTTACAGAGTAGTTACTCCCGGTGAGTCAGTAGAAATATTCCACCATAAACATGATCCTGCCGATGAGAATCAAGGAAGTGAAAGTACTGCAGAAGGATCAGAACACGAACATCATGGGCATCATGGAGTCGTAACAGCTTGGGGTGATCTTTATTTCCCGAAAGGATGTGGAGGAGGAAAACCCATTGAAGGTAGTGGTCAATTAGGCGGATCCGGATCATCAGGATATCCTAACTTTGCCGGAGTCACAAAACCAGGTCCATCGGGTGCCCCAGGTACGTAGCATTATTAAGTTACAATACTTTAACCTTGATATTTACTTTTACAACATCAAAAAATACTATATCCTAAACATTATCAAGATAAAATATTTTAAATTCAAGGTTATCCAGGACCATCAGGATCCCCCGGATCCCCTGGAGCTTTTGGCTACCCAGGTGCTCCAGGATCTCCTGGCTCTCCTGGCTCTCCAGGTTCACCAGGCTCCCCAGGTTCACCAGGTATCCCAGGCTCAGGTGGATATCCAGGATCAGGAGGATATCCAGGTTCAGGAGGATCGCCAGGATCTCCAGGCTCAGGAGGATCTCCAGGATCTCCGGGCTCTCCAGGCTCTCCAGGATCTCCAGGCTCAGGAGGCTATCCAGGCTTTCCAGGATCTCCAGGCTCAGGAGGATATCCAGGCTCTCAAGGCTCCCCAGGCTCTCCAGGCTCTCCAGGAGCTCCAGGCTCAGGAGGATATCCTGGCTTCCCAAGTGGCTATCCAGGATCTCCTGGTTCAGGAGGATCTCCCGGATCACCCGGATCACCCGGTAATTATGGCTACCCAGGCTCCCCTGGCTCACCAGGCTCTCCAGGAGCTCCAGGATCTCCAGGAACCCCAGGCTCAGGAGGATCTCCTGGCTTCCCAAGTGGCTATCCAGGATCACCAGGTTCCCCGGGATCTCCAGGATCTCTTGGATATCCAGGAAAACCAGGTTCACCAGGCTCCCCAGGAGCTCCGGGTTCTCCCGGCTCTCCAGGATTACCAGGATCAGGAGGATCTTCAGGATTCCCAAGTAGTTATCCAGGAAAACCCGGTTCACCAGGATCTCCAGGCTCACCCGGAATACCCGGATCACCAGGTTCACCAGGTTCACCTGGATCTTCTGGATCATTCGTATACCCAGGCGCACCTGGTTCACCAGGTGCACCAGGTACGCCAGGGTCTCCTGGAATTCCGGGATCTTTTGGATACCCAGGAAAACCAAGCAAACCAGGCTCGCCAGGAACTCCAGGTGCTCCAGGCATTCCAGGTACCCCTGGTTCTCCGGGATCTCCTGGATCCCCTAGTAGTTATCCAGGATCTTCCAGCTATCCTGGTTCAATTGGATATCCAGGTTCATCAGGTTCACCAGGTACACCAGGTTTACCAGGTTCTCCAGGAACGCCTGGATACCCAGGAAAACCGGGTTCTCCAGGTTCAGCAGGATCTCCTAGTTACCCAAGTGGTTTTCCTGGCTCTAATGGCTATCCAGGTTCACAAGGCTCTCCAGGCGCACCAGGCTCACCAGGCTCACCAGGGTCACCAGGATACCCTGGATCTCTAGGCTACCCAAGTGGACCATCGGGATCTTCTGGATCTCTAGGTTATCCGGGCACACCTGGTTCACCAGGCACACCAGGCACACCAGGTTCACCAGGATTACCAGGTAATTCACGACATAAGTATTATTGGTAAATTATTACTTTTCAGTTTATTTAAATAAACCATAGCTATATTAAGTTATTTCTATAGGACACAAGTTACAATTAATTGAAGTTCCTAAACGTTAGTTACGGTTTCTTTTTACTATGGGTTGACCTAATAATAACTAATATTATTGATCTTACATTATTATTACACTCCGATTGTTATATATTTAACAATTATGAAAACACCATAACATTTTTATAAAATGCTGTATTATACAATTGTATAATACATGTGTAATACACGTAATATATAATTAAAAAATAAAATACGGTATTTTTACATCACTGGATGTAGTATACAAATGTTTTAGTTTTAAAAATAATTTTTATTAATTATTTTATGATTTTTAATTCTTACATTTGCTGTAATACAATCAACAGTGTAGTAATCTTATTAGATCTGTATTTGAAATTTATTTGAATTTACCCAATTTAATTAGGGAATATACTTATTATTCTATAATATAGCGATTTCTGTTATACTTGTATTCCAATAAAGAATTCCAATAGTAGTTTATGTATAAAAGTTAAATATTTTACATAGGTCCTCGAAGATTTTATGTTTTTTTCCTTGTTTATTTATATACTACATACCAAATTATTTTTAAGAACATTTTTCATTTTTCATATTATAAGTATAAATGTTCTATCTAATTCAATAATTATTAATAAATGCTTTCAATTATAGGTAAACCTGGATCAGGCTCACCATCATACTATAAACCAGGTATTATATAAAAAGCTAAATTATTGTTTAAAAAAAATGTGAATTTATGTAACTTCTCAAAACTAATTTTAGGATCATCTGGTTCCCCCGGAACACCAGGATCTCCAGGAACACCAGGTCTTCCAGGTAATTTATAAAAATAAATATCAAGTATTTTTTTTCATTTTAGTATTTCATATTATTTAATTATATTTTAGGTCAACCAGGATTATCAGGTCCATCTTACCAAAAGCCATCGCCATATCCAGGAACTTCAGGTAAATAATATTTACTTATAAATAAATTATAAAGCATATTAATCAAAAATAAAAGTGTATTCTATAATGAATTGTTTATTTGTTATTATGATTGAACTATTAAAAATTATTTTATCAAATTATATAAAAGAAAATCAAATTAATTTGATTAAAATATTACCTTGATTATTTATAAGTTAATGTAAGTTCCTACATGAGACCTTGTTGATAAATGAAATACATATGTTGGTCCCTACATGGCCGATTAAGTTACATATGTCAGCTTTTACATGGTAATAACCAGGTATGTATTTTAATTCTTACATTATGGGAAAAAGAAAAAATGGTTTTTGAATACGTTTTGCTTTAAATTAAGTATATTTGATGAAACTATATTTATACATCCCAAATCGGATGAATGGGATAATCACATAAAAATTGTTCCACCGTATAGGAACTGACTAACGAAATATTTTTTTTTTTTTGTCGTGTAGGATATAACATACATATCTATTTTTTATTGTGTGGAACTAAAATATGCACCAAATTTTTAACGTGTAAACTTTACGTAGAAATTAAACATTCACTTTTATATTCCCATATAAACTAACATACTTATCTGTTTTTTTCCGTATAGGAACTAATACAACATATTTGTAAGAACTAATGTATGGAATTGATTAATTGATACTCTCGTGTAGAAACTTACTATTTTCCAAAATATCCTATAGATTAGTTAAATTAAATTAATTATGACATTTTAATTTTATTTTTTTTTAATCGCTCAATATGTCTATACGATGACTAACGATTTATGGTTTTTACAATGCGCCCGAAAACAATAATCACTTATAAAATACTTTTTGAATATATTTCATAAATTCTCATATTTTTATCTTATGTATTTGTGATGTTCGATTGGTTCAGTAATAATATAATTGATTTGATGAAAATCAAATTATCGATTTACAAACTATTATATTATGAAAAGAATTCAGAAATTTACTTTTATTTCTTTTTTTTTTATTATTATTGTATTTAATATTTAAATATATACTCTAATTAAATGTATAAAGTTTCTCAATTATAAATAATTTTGAAAGATTTTCGGTTGTATTAAACATTTTTTTTTTCTATTGTATAGGTTCTCCTGGAACACCAGGAACACCAGGATTACCAGGTATTATAATTTAATAATCTCTACAAATATAATAGTCTATATTTTTACACACTGAAAATATATATTGTGGTAAAAAAAACGTAATATCAACAATGATTGTGTACAAAATAAATATGAATATCAATACAATTTCATGTGATACATAAATATAAAACATAAAATTAGAATATGTATAAAATATAAGTTGCTGGAGATTTCATATTTTTAAATAAATGTTTTTTAGGCCAACCAGGAACTCCAGGATATCCAGGCCAAACACCGGCTTATCAAAAACCACCCACTGTATACCCAACATCGACTTATCCAGGAAGCCCAGGTAATTATCTCTATTGTTGAACATTAGTACCCAAAAAAATGCAAAAAATAATAATATGATACTAACTTTATCGAACTTGATATATATTATAATAAATTAATCTAATAGTATTTAAATTATATAATGAATATATTCATCCATAATATATTTATTTAATAGTATCATATATGTATTCAACTAAAGTTTTATTTGAAAACCAAAACGGTTGAATAAACAGCTAACTTCGTTTAGGTTATACATTATATAGTATATTATTTTACATAATCATAATTATAATGTAATCTAATTTTTGTTCATACATTTGATAGTGGCGTAAACAAAATACTTAATAATACATATAATGGGATGCCTTATTAATTTTTTAGGCGCATCAGGATTACCAGGAACTCCAGGACTCCCAGGTTAGTATTCTATACTTAAGATATAATTTTAATTCATAAATTATTTCATAATGGTGTACTGTATATGTATATTAATATTAGAATACTAAACTACCTTAAACAGTAGGACTATTTAATAGATTTTATTATACAAAACTTTGAACTGCTATTAAAATAAATATTTCTTTTATCAGGAGCTCCAGGATTGCCAGGTTCACCTTCCTATAATAAACCATCACCATACCCAAGTGCTCCAGGTAACTTTATTGATTATTATATATACAATAGTGTTAAGTAAATTTATTCTATAGCTTAACATATAAATATATTTTATTTTTTTAGGATCATTTGGAACACCAGGATCACCAGGTTCTCCAGGACTTCCAGGTATTAATTTTTAATTGATTATAGTTGTTTAATATGATGTAAATTAATGAGTTATATATATATATATATAATTGACAAATAATAATGAAACATTTTTAAAAATAAGTTTTGATTTAACTATAAATAATAAAAATTTTATTTGTATTAAGAACAAGATTAAAATAATTATCATTCATTTTTCAATAAATTATAAATGCACACAAAAATAAATATCAATATCCAACTTTTTCAATTGACTATTGTTATTGTTGTTGTTTGTGCAATAAAACATAAAGTAGTAATATATTTAATTTTACTTTTCTCAATATTATTCTAATAATGTACTTAATTATAAATCATTCTGTTAAATTCAAATTAAAAATTATAAAATGTAATAATAAACTAATATATTCTGTATAGTGCTACAGAATATACATTAAGTGATCTATAGATAAATTGTATGCATCAAGCACAGTTAACGGTTAATTTAATTAATAAATGTATTT